TTTCAAATTTACTATGCAGTTAATACTGCAAAGAATCTAGCAAGGCCAACTCAGATCCTCCTAATACCAGTTGTGGTTCACCCTTTTCAAAATTGCAAAATGTTTGGGTCCTTCATTTTCAAGAAAAAAGCGTGTCCCAGGGATGTTCTGTGACTTAGCCCCAATGCTGTATAGTTATGAGAAAGTCTAAATCTCAACCCTAGAACCAATGCTGAATTGGAAATTTATAAAAATTAAAAAAGGAAGGTATAATAAGATGCAATTTATTGTATCAACTCAAAGTTGTACTTGAATTTCCATGGCTTAAAAGAAGATCTAAGTTGATTTTGTATATTATGATATGAGGTTATTGTGACATTGTGACATCAAAGTATTTTGTACTGAGGGCTGCCATGTTATTTATCACGTTATTTAGGTTACTTATCAAATATGTACATCAGGGAATTTTGTTGATTGTCCCAGGGGAGGAGGAACATTCATCATAAGCTGGTTAAAAAGCTGAAAGCCCTACTTTATTGTCATATTGATATAATAGACATACCACACGTAAGCTCATGAACATGTTGCCTGGCATTGAAAGTGTGTTACTGTCAGCGTGCAGAGGGCCATGAACTCTACTGCTGCTTGCCCATCACTATGAAAAAGAGGAATGTTTTCCAGTCTTGGGCAATGGAAATTTATTAAAACTAGAATGTTCAAAAGGTGTTTTTAAATTGTTTATTTGGCAAAGAAGCAATAGGAATCTCCTATCTGCCTGCTTAAAATCAAAGTCAGAAATGGATAAGAAATGCCCTTTAATTGAAGATTTAAGTCACTTTTTAGTATTCATAGGTCAAAATTTTGGACTTCTCAAATCCAAGAGGAAACACAGTCTGTCCGAATTACCATATTTTCTGCTCTGTATTAGGCAGTTTAAATATCAACAATAATTTTAACAACAGGGAAGTTCTCCCTCTTGTCCATAAACAGCTTAAAGCTACTAACATGGGAACCAAAGCAGAGGAGACGAAATAGAGTTTTAATGCAAATTTAATCTTCTGTTTTATGAGGTTATCAATGTTTTGTAATATCTTGAAGGTGAAATGATCTGCCTTTTGAATAGGACTAAAAATGTCAATGAATGTGTGTAGTTAAGACCCTACACACACATACACACACACACACACACAAAGAAAGATCAAGTGTACTTGTGTTTTTTCCTATCCTGCCTTCATAGTCAAGGTAGCTGAAAAACAAAGAAAAGTTACAGAAATTCTGTCTTAGATTTTGTAATGAGTTACTGCTAGTTGTAGGGTTGAGGCCAGAGACAGTGGGCTCATGCTGTTCATTACATGGTTTTAACTGAGGCCAATTAAGTGTGCTGCATGTGCTAAAGAATGCCCACAGAAACTCCCTGCTTACCTTTGCTATCAGAAACCTACTCCAATGTTGTAGCAAGGAAGAGCTATGAAGAATCCTAGATGTACAGCATCCTAGCTGGGTCATCATGAGCAACTCATTTAACTTAGTAAGCATTATTCCCACTGTACCAGTAAGGAAACACATACCAGCCCTGCTCCTCAAGAGCTAGCCTCTGCACCAGGAGACATTGTGACATCAAAGGATTTTGTACTGAGGGCCGCCATGTTGTCAATATGCTTGATATTTGAATAAAGCACCAGTGTCCTAAACATGTCTTTTAAGGCCCTTCTTGAAATGGCTTGATTAAAGAGAATTTAACAAAGGACTAATGACAAAGGCATGACCTGGTTAGTAAAGATTGTCAAAGACGCGTCCCAAAGCCTACAACAGAGGCAACATCATCATTCTTAGGAAGTAAGGAGCAAGAAAATGAGAAACCTATAACAATATAGTCAAATAATGTCTAGAGTGACCAAGCATGGGAGAAATGTTTTAGAAAGGTCTGGAACTTTTCCCTCCTTCAGTCTTAGTCTCCTAGGATATTCTAGGACTGTTGTAATCCCAAAGAGATTTAGAAAGTAGGAGATTTCCTTGAAGCAATTTTTTAAGCTTACCCTTTCATGATGAGTAAGTAGAGAGGAAGGATTGTGGATATGGAAGAAAAACTGGAGTATACAGCAAATATTGTCTAGATAAATATTAATAATTCTGATAGGACCCAGAAAATGGGGAAGGAAACACCATGTTTGGGTTACTACTATCTGTCAAGAACTTTGATGGAATTTACTTACATAATTTTAGAATGCCTACCATGAAAATCTGGCTATTATCATCATTAGACAGGCTGCAGTAGTGAGTCCTGATGGGTCTCCTAAATCTTTTTCATGGTCACAAAGCTACTAAGTGTGAGAATAAGAAACCATGGCTTAACAGTTATATGGGAACTTTCATAAGGGGATTCAAATTTGTTAACACAGATGAAACTTGGGTGGCATGCAACTGTGCGTCTCAAGGATGGAGAGCACAAAGGAATTCTATACCTGGCAGACACTCATGAAGTATTTCTTCTCCTATTTGATAAGCAGGACCCTCCACTGTAATATCTCACTCCCATTCTGATAGAACTCATTAACACTAACTGAGGTGTGCTCTTTTGAACTGAGCCACAAAACTATTTCAACCCCAGGTATCTGAAAAACATTACCAATGAACTGTTTTTTTAGCCTTTGTATCTATCTATCTGTTTATCTGTTTATATATCTATATCTATATACACAAATGATGAGAAAAAATATATCCTAATCTGTTCTGACTCTGAGAAGTTGAAGGCATTCTTCTACTCAAATAACCTGAGAGGCCTTATGGATGCACCTGAACCTCTTAATTTTATTGAAAAATATTGCTACCTTCCTTGGACAATTATATGATTTTCCTATAATTTTTATAAGTCTCATGTCCAGTTCCAATGTCCAATGTATGGCTTCAATTTGTGATGACCTTAGAATATAGTACTATGTAAACTTTATCACCATTCATGAAAAGTATGTTAAGGAGTAAAACTAAAATTGAGTCCATAATCAGTATAACTTGGGTTAAGAAAATACATACCCACAGCAGAATAGTTACCTTGGTGTCTCAGCATATTAATGATGAGTTTTTGTTGTCATTGTGGGTTTTTTTCTTGTTTATTTTCCGTTCAAAAAAGCCTTACAGTCCCCTAAGCCTGATATGTTGCTATATTTCTATTTTCACTATTTTTGTTTTGTTTTTAACCATATAGGTATCATCTCTTAATTGTATTATGATATGATCAAATCCTGAAACAAATAATTATATTAAAAGGTATCATTATATAACTGTAAATGTTTCCAAATAAACAGGGGTATCAAACGGAGTGCTGTCTGAAAGGTGAACCCCGATAGAAAAGTGGCACCAAGGTCTAATAAGGCAATAAGAACTCACAGCTCTTCCTAGAGCCTGCTCAGGGATTGGAGGGAGTAGATTTCCCTGACCCATTCTTGCACCTCGCTTGTTGCTCAGATGATTCAGGGACTTGATCTCCATGAAAACCTCTTACAAACTAATAATTTCATTAGAGCATGCATGGGCAAACACACACACACACATGTCCAAAGCATGCGCGGGCATACACACACACACACACACACACACACACACAGATAGTATTGCAACTTCAAAATTTGCCAAAAAAGTGTCTTATCTTCAATTTGAATTGAACATTTATGGTGTCCTGGGACTAGTGTAAGTGGAAGGGACTATCTTTAATTTTGATAGCTTTCTTTCACTTGAGCCAGAGATGTAATATACATTTATTTGATAAAAATATTCTGGGCTAGTCATAATATTTTTTATCATGGACGGTTAATAACAGGGATTGGCACCTTATGGCCCAAAGTTAAGTTAGAATGTAGAAAATAGAAAACTATAGTAGCATGATAATATATCTTATAGGTTTCCAAAATGGGAAAAATGAAATATCCATCAATGTGGGAATGGGGAAATGCTTAAGTTACTTGTAGCGTATTCATATAATGAAAAATTGTGCAGCTGTTAAGAAGTACTGATGTGCACTACTATATACTGGCAAACAAGTTTCTCAAAAACATCCATCATTAGGAATAAACAGCTTCAGGGAGATGTCTGATCATGCTCACATTTGAGGTTAAATATTTCTATGCACATATGCACATTTGTGTTGTGTATATACTTAATGGCTTTGTGATTATGCATAACAGAATGTCAGCAATATTTTCAATGAAAAAAGGTGTAGTGGTTGGGAGAGAGCTAAATAAAGATATTCGAAATAACTTCAGGATTATATAAGCAAATTTAAAATCTTTAACCTGAACATTAAATAACTAGTGAAACAGACCCACGGGAAGCCTAAAAAAAAAAAAAAAAAAAACCTCTTTAAGATTTAGCATGGACAATTTTATCATATCTTGGTGATTTTGTTTTACTTGCGGTTTCTCTTTCCTACAGCTTCCTATGTTTTGCAATATTTTAACTTCATAGTAGAAGAGACAACTAAGCCATTAAAACATAAATGTAATTCAACAGTACCTTAACATTTAGAAACTTGAGTAGATTAGTTCTGATTGGTGTTTTATGCATCTGAGTTGATTCTAGTAATGCTTTTATTTCTTTCGTCTTTCTAATGTATTTGTAGCTTCAGAATAATTTATCTTTGACCATAGAACCTTTAAGCTATTTGTCTATTCACTCATCTTGTAGGGGAATTGGGGGTCTATGATAAATTATAGGATTCTTTCACTTACAGGGTTTTCCTGGGTGGAAATAGGCTCCGTTATGATTTATAATTTCATTTGTTAGGCAGTTTCCTTTCTAATGTATATTTTCACAAGTTCTTTGTATGGGCTTTCTCAAGTTATCTAAAGATATTTCTGACTACAATCTTTCTCAGTGTTGATATCACAGATAGAGACCAGTTAAATGTCAACAGAAATGGAAAATATCTGAGTGGGTGCATGATATAAGCACAAGTGTGTTTGTGTTTGTTGCATACATTGCTGAATGAACTCTGCCTGAAAGTCATTCTCCCCATTTTTCTCCCTCAGCTATTATAAAAACTGCTCTTCCCAACATGGACAGAGAAGCCAAGGAGGAGTACCTGGTTGTTATCCAAGCCAAAGATATGGGTGGACACTCTGGTGGCCTGTCCGGGACCACGACACTCACAGTAACCCTTACTGATGTTAATGACAATCCTCCAAAATTTGCACAGAGTAAGTGGATTTCCTGCACTAGATGAGAATATAAGTATGGTATTTTCACTTGAATTTATATTATAATTTTCAGTGACATTCCAAAAACTCATAGCAAACATTGAATACTTAATTTATAGAGTATGAAAAAAATACTCCTTCACACTTAACAACTATCCCATGTACCATATTTATCCTCATTTTACAGAATTCAAAAACATTGGGGAAATTTCCAAATATCAAGTATGCAGTATGCAGTATGTAACTGAGAATTAGAGTGAGATTGAGATAAGGATGAAAATACCACTAAGATATTGATCAATTATTATTTCTGGTACTGAATAAAAGAAACCAAATGCCCAGTGTCTGTGCTGGGGAAGCCAACGCACTGTAAACTTGCTGTCACACTTGCATGTGTGGCATCTGGGAGGGACAATGCCCATGACTCTCTCCACTCTTTGAGCTAAGGCTGTGCTTTGCCTGTGCAACCCCAGTAACACCATAGGCAGTCACCTCAGTGAATTGGGGAGACAATCATTATTTTCTAAGTATCTTGTACTCTGCCGAAACACTTTTTTTTTGAGCATTTATCCAAGTAATGTGACATAGAGGAATGAGTCAGCAAAGCCTTTCTGACACAAGGACTCCCAAATTGAAATATGAAGAATGGATAGGTTTAGTTGGAACAAGATGAAACCAGCTAGAACATAAGAAATCAGGGGAGAGATAAGGGACATTGTAGTTAAAAGATTTTTATTTTATTTTTTTTAAGATTCCACATATAAGTGAGATTAGACAGTATATTTCCTTTTCTGCCCGGCCTATTGGACTTAATGTTCTCTAGGCTCAACCATGTTGTCATAAATGGCAAGATATCCTTTTTTTAAAGTTGAATACTATTCTATCTTATATAAACACCACAGCTTTTTAAACCAGTCTTCCACCAATGGACACTTAATTTGTTTCTATGTCTTGGCGACTGTGAATAATGTTGCATTGAACATCTGAGGGTAAGGTGAGTGCATGACCTTGCATGGGAACAGAAAAGATTTCACAGTAGTTGGAGCACAGAAGTGCCAGGTGGAGAATGTGGCAACAGGAGCTAGACAATTAGCATAGGCAGGAATTAGCTGAACTTGGATTTATAGGCCATTTAAAGTACCACAAACTTTATTCTAAGATCACTGAAAATCCATTAGAAGATTTAAAATGGAGGTAGAGTTATAGTTTATCTCTAGGAAAATCAGGGGAAAAAAAATCTGGCCTTCTTCCAATGTCTTTCTCCACACTGCACCCAGTGAAAGGGATATTTACAAACATTCATGTAAATTGAATAGCCCTGGCAAGCAAGGGTTATAGCAGTGGAAGTGATAGAATTAAGTATAGGTGTGGTTAATACTTTGGAGTTAATAATGGGAATAGTCTAAGGATTGATCGCCTTTTTCAGATAAAAAAAATGGTTATCAAATATGTGATATTAGAGATTAGATGTCCACTGGTGCTTTTTACTGGGATAGGAAACATCACAGGACAATTGTTCTTTGAAAAGAAAAGAGAGAAGAGACGGGACAGAGGGATGGAGCTTGAAAATGACATATTCAAAGCACCTTTGAGAATTTACCTGAAGGAATTCCAAGGCAGAGAGAATAGAGATGCATTTTCATTAAGAATGTTAGAACTTTTACATCTTGCCATTCATAAATTAGACAATAATGCAACCCTTTTAAACAAAATTATTGAAGTGGAGAGCACCATTTCTCCTTGCCTTTCCCCAGTCTTTTATTCCTCATTCAGTTGCCATTACAGTTAATGCTATAATGTGCAATTCTTCTTTCTCAGAAAATGATTATCTCAATTCAACAGTGGCAGATGAGTTTCAAAAGCAGTCCCTTTCTTAGCGGCAATAACTATTAACTATGATCACACTGATAGAGATGATGAGAATGAGCAGAATAGCAATGGATAAAGGAATGCTCCATTTGCTTGGTTTCACAAGGCTCCCCGGTGTAGGTCTGGCAGCAAGGTGAGGCCCCTGGCTGGCTTATTTACTTAATAAGCATACCTAAAGGGATCATTTGCAAGCTTACCTGGAATATAAAGTTTGAAAGCAATAGAATCATTACACCAATTATGACCAAATTGGGAGATTCATGTTCCACATGATGATTTTCAGTGCCTACCTATGGTAAAACCATTTGGAAACTGTTTTTTTTTTTTTTCTTCCTAAGCCCCATAACTTCATGATTGTAAGAGATATTTTTATTTCATAATTAACAGAAAGGGTATTAGTGCTTGATGAAACTTCACTCAGCAACTAAACCAATCTTGTAATGTTGGGCAAAATGAGCCTTGGTTTATCCAAGGGATTCCATGATGGAATTCAAAGTAGAACTATGTGATGTTCTCCAGATTTAATTTTTCCTTTTGGGTTTATAGTTCATTGAATGTCTATTTCTCCCTTAGTGTCATTGTCTAAAACGTCCTGGTTGTCTGAGTTTTACTTCTCCAGAAACATTCACCAAGACAACCATTTGGTTAAAAGTAACTGAACTTATAGATGGTTCCATTAAACTCCAGTGGGGGAAAGTGAGCGAGAGAAGGATAAAGAGCCAAAGGAGGTACACAATCTAACCAGCTACCACTGTGGGTGAGTGGAACCTTATCTCATGCAGAAAAATCTGCCCTATTAGAAAGAAATAAAAGAAAAGGGAAAATAGAATGTCCTAGGATTTTATATACTACCTCCTGTGAGTCCTGGAGGGCTGCTTCTGCGGGGAATTAGTGCTCTGGAAGTTCCAGTCTGACATGCAATGGGCCAAATGGAATATGAAAGCCAGAGGAATCCCTCAGGCAAAGAAATGCAGGAGCTGGCAGTTAGATGTAGGGCAGGTGTGATATAAAGTGGTAATGGCCAGGAATTGTGTTTGGAGCACCACCAGTTTACAGGATACCAAGGAAAGTGAGTGACAACAACATCACAATGAAATCCATTTGAATAAAAATAGGACAAATGTCACTAATTAGACATGTTTTACTGTTCCCATAGGAGAATGAAAATACACTGTAATTGTATTTTGCCTAGGGAGTTTTGAAGGTAGCATTTTTGTCTTCAGAGCAATGAGGACATTAGTAACAGGAGGAGTGTTTCTTGTGTCTGAACAGCTTGCTGCAGGGCACAGCAGAAGTTTAGTAATTGGATTTTATCAAAAAACGGTCTACAAGTCTGTAAATATAAAAGTAAGTTCAAAAGTGACTTTCAGTATGTTACATATCGCATCTTTCTGAGCTGAAATTAGCTTAATATGTTATGTTGGGCAACAATGAATATGTCCACAGGCAGTCAGTGTGATTATACAGCAAATTGGAAGGTACATTCACATAGACTCACTAATATTCTGATACAGTTGTTCCAAATATATACCTGATAAACATGGTTGAACAAATCCCAAATCTCAGAAGAATCTTGAAAAAAAGAGTTCACTGCTCTGGGAAATATTTGTCTCTCTTTATTTAAAAGACTGCATGTTTCACAAGGCAATGGGGATGTTCTCATCTTTTCCATTGTTCAGAACAAAGGAAGTACTTAACACCTATCTGCTGAATAAATATGTACATAGCTAGCATTGGTGCAGCACTCAGTGTTTCTACTCTTTTCTAAGGTCTGTATCACTTCTCAGTACCAGAAGATGTGGTTCTTGGCACTGCAATAGGAAGGGTCAAGGCCAATGACCAGGATGTTGGTGAAAATGCACAGTCCTCTTATGACATCATTGACGGAGATGGAACAGCACTCTTTGAAATCACCTCTGATGCCCAGGCCCAGGATGGCATTATACGACTAAGAAAGGTAAGCCAAGGAAGGTTTTGCTCATCTTTAAAATACCATCCACAAACTTGAGCTTGGACTGACAGAATCTTAGAGTTGGTAGGCATTTGGCTTTTCCTTGTAAAACACGATGACTATTAGGATCCTTTTAGCACCTCTAATCCATTGGGCCCACTTCACATTTCAGCTGAAGCTCAGGTAAACAGCTACCATGATGGTGCTGACCTCCCATCTTACCTGATATTTCTCTCTTTGTCTATTCCTCAGTGACTTTCCCTAAGCCTCAAGAGCTTAGGGAAAGAGCTTAGGGAAAGCTTAGAGAAAGCTAACTCCGTCTTTGTACAGGGCACTCCAGCTATTAAAGAAAGTCAAAGCCCAGAAGGGAACTCTCAACCAATTGGGAACAAAAGTTGATGGACAGTTAGTATTCTGAGGCATATTGCTTAATGTCTGCTAAGAGTATTCTCAGTAGAAGTCAGTCTCAGTTGCCCCACAATGGTGACAAGTTCAATAGCTTTTAGTCTTTCCCTGTATAACTCTCCTATTTCTGTACTGCTGCTTTCTCAAATATCTTCCAAGATATATTGACATTTCCCCCAAGTCTTTATTGAAAACTGAACTTTCAAGAAAAACTCAAAGACAGGCTGAACATCCAGGTTCAGATATCCTAGCCAGCTCTGGAGCTCTGATTAGAAGACCAACCCTGCTACCACTAGCTGCTCTAAACTATGGGTTAACAGCCCAGTCATTATGGGAAATGAAATAAAACTCAGTTTAGCCTTACTTCTGGGTGTAGGGCTACTATTAGGAAAAAAAATTTAAAAAGTGTCTCTGAATGTAGACTTTGACAATGTGAGACTGCTTTTGCCATCAACCCATGGCTCACGGTAGACATGAAAATTTCTGTTCATTTTTCCATTTTTATTTCTTATAATAAAAAATCATAAGGAATGTATAAAACATAGCTTATTATTTTATGCACACAAAGACTTGCAAGGGAAAAATACTCTTATCCTCATCATAACTTTGTTGGAAATCATTCTACATAACCTTTGTCATGAAGTAGGTCATGCTATTTTTAAATAGATAAATAAGAAGTACATGGGAGATTACACTCTTAGGAGCCAATAATTTCTTCCTCTGTCTTGATCAGCATGTCATTGATACGATTCACTATGTGATTTTCTGATGTTACATAAAGATCCATTATTCCCAGAGGTCCTGCTCTTAAAATTTCCCATTGAAGAGTTATTAACCATAGAAATATGAAATCTTCTGTTTACATTTTTGTATAAATATAATGTTAAAAATCAATTTGAGAAAAAAAAATGGATGCATTTTTTTTCACTTTCTTTTGAGCAATACTGTCTTCAGATCAGGATCCTAGCTTGGGTTTAGAACTCAAGAGTTGCAAAATGTTTAAAAACTCATATTTGAAATGGAGTGCAGCATAATGACACTTGAGTCAATTACTGAATGACCCAGAGCCACATTGTCTTTGGCTAGCAATTCCTAATGTAATGTTTATTGTTATTCTTAACTGCTATCCTTTGTTGTCATAAGATGCTTTTTATAAACTGAAACATTAGCTGTTTTATGTTTTTGTCCACTATTATTCATAAACTTGGAAGCATGTACTTTGACACATGTATTTTACTTTAGAGAATAATTCATGGGCCTTCAATTCATGGGCCATCTTATTTGTCTGATGACAGTAGAATATATTGAGGTACATTGTTGTTATATGAGCTAAAGGTGAGACACAGCTAGGTTTTGAATCTGCCTACATATTTCTTTATATGCTCACCTGCTTCATAGCACAGCACTTAACAGTAGAATATATTGAGGTACATTGTTGTTATATGAGCTAAAGATGAGACCCTCCTTGCATGGAAGCCTTCTGATCTGTACTTATTGCTGAAGTATATCAGGCAACAAGCAAGGTACAGGGGTTCCCACTTTTTTTTTCCTTTCAGGCAACAACAGTCATTAATCCCCCTCTATGAGTGATTGCAAAAATTCTCTGGAAAATCCTGAGGAGAAGGCCTAGAGACTTACCATTGGCTGAGATTTGGGAGAATAGGAGGGATGGAAAAATAGAAGATGCTAAACAAAGAGTCCAACCTCTCAGCTAAGACTGGATAAATATTTTTTTTAATGACCTATAGTACAAGCATGTGGCCACAGTTAATGATAATGTATTGTGTATTTCAAAATTGCCAGAACAAATTTTTATTATTCTCCTCACCCCCCAAAAAATCTGAAACAATTAGTGATGTGATAGATATGTTAATTAGCTTGATTGAACTTTTCCATAACATAAACATAGATGAAAACATCAAACAGTATCCCATAAACATATAGAATTATTATTTGTCAATTAAAAATAAAATTAAGAAATTAACAATAGAATCCATTATATTGAACATTGTTTGAAAAGACCTTGAAATTGTAAAATTGTTATAGTAGGGGTGATTGGCAAATTGTGATTATGCCGATAGTGAATCATTTATTCATAGGTATATACTTGTGCCTAGTAATTTGAGAATCAACAGAGAAGTGAGTGTTTGCATTGTTTACTGGAAAATATTGGCAGGGGGAAGCTAAGTCTCATTAGATCTGAATTCAAATATAAAAATCAACATAAAAATTTTAAGTAAGAATACATATTTAAGCTTGCGTAAGAGTTCTGAAAGACTTCACTGATGGTAGTTTGTGTTCCAGCTTCTTATTTTTTAAAAATCTGCATTGCAGATTTAAAGTTCTGTTTCTTATGAGAAATTGTAATGCAGACGTAACTATCTCCTTGAATCTTGACAGTCATGCATTCTTGAAATCTGGAGTATTGTAAGTTGCCAAGAATTGGTCTATAAGGGTTCTGATGCAGATGGGTCTCTGGTGTATTTAAAGGGACTATCTTCTCTTACCTCACTCTATTAAACCTAGGCCAATGACAAGAGTCTCTTGCCCTGATAAGGAATGAAGTGTTAGTATGTCAGAAATATTTTCAGTAATGGTACAATGAAGCAACTGCAAGTTGTTTTTAAGTGGTCGGTGAGTGCATACTCAGACTAAGTTCTATTTATACTGCACTTACTTTCCTTTTTCTAAATATAAACACAGCTAGGTTTTGAATCTGCCTACATATTTCTTTATATGCTCACCTGCTTCGTAGCACAACACTTAACAGTAAAGACCTTTGCCAAGGCCCTAAAAAATAATAAACCTCATTTTAATTATATAATCAGTAAAGTAGCAATGCTTTGGAAATAAAATAAGAAAACACTCTTTGTTGGGATTCGTGCTAAATTATGCTTTAAAACATCTCCTTGGGCTAAACAATGATTATTTCTAGTTCTTTACATTTCACACACTGTTGCAGAAATGATAAAATATTCTTCCCAGATAAAGATTGTATTCGATGCTGCCTTATCTCCTACCAGCAGAGGCCTGATTAACTGGCTGATTAGTATGCAGGTCATGCTATCACTAGTAAAATTTTATTATGACTCTGAAGTGAAATTTTGATGGCAGAATTCATGACTGTGAATATTTTGTGAATTCCAAGTGAAATGAGCAAAACAAAACAAAACAATGGGAGATTAGATTCACTGAGCTTGTATAATAAACAGATATCAATAAATGCCTGTAAAATTTACAGGTTGAATCTAGGGGAATGGAGACTGATCCCATTAAGACTCACAAATGGGCTTAAATGCACATAACTTTCATCCATCAGCATTATACTCATTTGTTCTTGCTGCTGTGGTCATTAGTGAAGCATTAATCTTTGTCATTTCTTAACAGCCTCTGGACTTTGAGACCAAGAAATCCTATACTCTGAAGGTGGAGGCAGCCAATGTCCATATTGACCCACGTTTCAGCAGCAGGGGACCCTTTAAAGATACGGCTACGGTTAAAATTGTTGTGGAGGATGCAGATGAGCCTCCTGTCTTCTCTTCACCAACATACCTCCTGGAAGTTCATGAAAATGCTGCTCTGAACTCCGTGATTGGGCAAGTGACTGCTCGTGACCCTGATATCACATCCAGTCCTATAAGGTATTTCTCTTTTAAATGACATACAGGCTACTTGAAATGACAAACTCATCATTACAAAATGCTATGATTTGGTACACATTCTGCATGGCTGCCTTTGAGTCTAGGATCACATGACAAAGGAATTTAGGCCCAAACGTGCTCTGTCTATGTGTCCATGTCTATGTGAATATATGCACGTAGAAATATGTGCCTACTAAGAGCTTCACACAATGTCTGACACCAGAAACCTCAAGATTAATCAACCTATTTAGCTTTTATAAAGCCCAACGATGATGCAAAATCCCAAATATTTTGCAGCACATTTGGGTGAATCTTTTATATTTTTTCTTTTATTGCTTTTTAGCATTGCAAAAGCTAGTTTGTCTTCTTCAACAGTTACAGTGATACATTATAACTGATACAGTTATACATTAGAATTTAAAGACATAAGACTGCTGTGTCAATGTACTAAGAGGATCCCATCTTATTTCTGTTTGATGTTTGGCTTTAAAATTAGCTTATTCTCAGTTCATGGGCATTTCTCTTTGGTCAGCATATCTGGTTTGGTGTCTTTTAGACAAAAATCTTTTCCCTCACTTTGAAATTGTCTTTTGTTTACATTTTTTCTGCTCAGAAGTTTTTAGCAGGATGAAAAATAATCATTTATTAAAGGTTTTCTTTTCCTTTTTCTTTTTTTCTTTTTTTAAAGAAATGAGGTTCAATCCTATTTTCTTTTTTTCTGTTGAACTGTAAATACCTTTTCTCTTTTGCCAATCACCCAAATGACAGTACAGGTAGTCAAGCTAAATAGCTTCCTTTGAAAAGCATGCTGAAAATCTATACTTTGAAGGCTGGTCTCTAAGGGTGAAGTGTTGGCTAATGATGTGTTTGAGTGTGGATTTCAAATATTTTCTTTGGAAATTTTGTTGGGGGAAGGAAGGGAGAGAGAGAGAGAGAGAATATAAATAAACTAGGGGGAAGAGTAAGATTTTATTTTAAGGGATTATATAGTAAATCTATATGTTAGATGTCAACACACCCAGCACCCAACTTTGAATTTCTAAGTCAGAGATATCTAGAACAGACCACCCTTCTAACTACTTTATTTAGGGAAATTCTAGGCAAAAGAGTTTTCCAGAAGTTTTATTTATTTACCTTTTTAAAAAATGTATTAAACCCTCATTGCCCACAAGGGTGCTCAATCTAAGAAGCTGAGAGAAACCCTGCAGAATAGTCCTCAATAACTTGAATTTGAACATAGGGGAAATGTTTTCATATCCAGAATACCCTCTTAACACAATATAGTTCCAAATTTAGGATGATAAGTAATAGTACATCCCATAAGGATTCAGATAAAGCTTTCTACAGAAGAATGCAGTCTCAAAGAAGACGAAACTGAGAAGGTAAGGAATGGTCGGTCCGTCCATGGTCAGGTTCAGAGCTATTCAACACACTGTAGATTTATACAGTACCCCTTATTTGGCTAAGGGAAAAATATCTTTGAAAGGTCAAATATTAAATGGAAGGGCAAGAAGTATCCAGAAAGACAAGTTTACATGAACATCCTTTTTCTGAATCTCTAGTAAAGTTATGCAATGGCTTTATGGTGGAATTCTTTTGTAGAGAGGGACAGTGATATTTTTATATATAGGGATAGTGATATTTTAAGTGAAATAATATGCCTCGTTTTTATATTTCTTCATTTTCTCTGAAAGAAATACAAACAGAGGAAAAAATGTCACTTTCTTTATATCTCCAAGCATGAGATTGACTCTAAAGGAAGTAAACAAGATTGGTTCAACTGAGGAATTAGTCTGGGAATAGTTTGAGCCTTCGATTTGACAAGGTTTCTACGCTTAGCAGTGAGGAGCATATAAGGACTCAGGGAGATACCAAGCCATCAGTCCTGTGGAGTAATAGGGGTTCAGATATTGGGGCGATTACAGGAATACTCCAAAATTGTGTCCATGGTACCAGTTATACAGGACCTGCTGTGTGTAGACATATTCTTCATCAGTTAGAGGTGAGGTCTGAGAAATTTTTTTGTGCCGTGGTGAATTGGCAGAGCTGGGTTTAAATCCTGGCTCATAAAACCCCACACACTTTTGCTCCTTTAATGATCTATCCATTCTACTGACCAAAAAAAAAAAAAAAAGAAAACAAAAAACAACAACAACAACAAAAAAAAAAAAACATAATTTCAATACATAGGAAATCAAGCCGTTATTCTCACTGTATTTACTTGTTACTACTATTTTTATTGTTGTCACTGTCTGGAGAGTTGTGTGTAAAAAAAGCTAGAGCCTGGTCAGCACCAACCACCTGGCTTAGAAGTATTTCATTTTCAGACAAGCTAAGTAGGATTTGAAGCTGTGTTACCAGGAAGAGATGGACAGATAAAGTATAAATTGATGACACAGACATATCTGTGTTTTTGATAGATGTCAGGCAAGTACTAGCTCCTATACATCTTTGGTCCCATACAAAGAAGTGAGGTTGTTGTTTCAAAGCATTTACAATAGGCTTTGAAGTGACAGTCAGAAGGTGCTCCCCACACAGCCCTGATAGGAGGTGGACAGCTCCGTGACATGAGAATGCAGCCATCACCAGCTGTGCTTTTCAGCATCTGTTCTGTGTTGCTGAAGCTCCTTTCCTACCAGTTGGGTTATGGAGAGCAGCTTTTCCCTGTCTATGCACAACTGGTTAATTTCTGTAGAAAATTAAATTTCCTGACTGCCAGAGCCATGCCTAGGTCCTTATGAGCCTAGCATATGGAGTTACCCCTATTTATCCTTTTAAAACACAACTCAAAGATATGAATGCTCAGGGAATTATAGGGTAACAGGTATCCATTATTTTCTCTTTAAGATTGTTGAATTTCATATGCTGACAAGAACATACTTACTTTTTTAGGTTAATATTTGCTTTGCCATGCAGCAAAATAGAGGTCTTTATTGTGGTCACTGCCCTGCTAAAATGTATAGCCATTCACTAGTTGGTCAACTTCTGTAAGACTTCTTCTGAGAGCACATCATCTAGTTAGAAATATCCTGCATTTTAGAATTCATACACCTATTGCTATATCTGTATCTGTATCTAGATGTCTGTATATTTCCTTCTAGGAAAAGAATGGATAGTGCATTAAGCAAAATCTACAGTCACATCTTTACCCTCAACAAGAACATTAATTAAGCATTTATATTTTTTAAAAGATGACATATTTTGAATTTAGTCAAATGAAGTTTCAAAGTGTATCATGACTGCTCTCCTGTCAGACTTTTCATCTCTGGAATTCTCTGAGGTTCCGTTTCTTCGCTGGTATGGGATTATAATATCTTCCTCATGATTAAATGAAGCTATTAAATAATCTGTTGTAGCTATTAGAATTACCAGCTAATAAAAAGTTAACCACCAACAACTAACTTTACATTGTAAATGTAAATTAAAACCTACTTCTTATTTTAGCCAAGATTGTTCTAAGAAAAGTGGCTAACTATATGGAGAATGATCTATTTTTGGTTTTTCTATCTGCTAACTAGTATAGTAATAAAACTCATTTAATCTAATTTGTCCCTGCTACTTATATAAATATTGTTACAATGAGTGCTTAATGTGTGTCAGGGACTGTGCTCCTAACTCCTCTCTAAGATAATATGTAGTCATTACTCCCACTTATCAGATGAGAAAACTGAGGATAGAAACACTATCTTATTCAATGTTACACGAATGGTGAAGAGTGGGTCTGGATGTGTTAGTCAGATTTCCATTACTGTGACAAAATGCCTGATAAAATCAACTTTAATGAGGAAAGTTTCATTTGGGATCCTGGTCTCAGATGTTTCAGTCCATGATTCCTTGGCTGCATTGTTTTGTGCCTGTTATGGCAAAGTACATTATGACAGGAGGGCATGGCTGAAGAAGCTAATCACATCATGGCATCCAAGAAGGAAAGACAGAGATACTGGAAGTGATGAGAATCTCAATATCCTGTTGAAGGACATGTCCCAATGACCTAACTTCCTTCCATGAGTCCCTATCTTCTAAAGGCCCTACTGTTTTCCAATAGTGACTTAGGCTATTGGAAATAACCAAATCTTTAACACAAGAACTTTGGGGGATACTCCAAACCAAATTCAATAATTGCTTTTCCTTAAATTTATTTTTTATAATGCAATGCTGTTCTCTACCGGAATGAAACAGTTCTTCTGATTTTTGTAATTCCAACCTTGTCTATAAACTTAAGTGTGGTTTAACGGGAATAATTTATTTGAAATATTAAACTTCATTCTCTAAATAATCTCATCAAATCCAGCATGTAAACCAGGGAAGAAGAAAAAATAAGTAAATTCTGTGGAGTTTACTCAATATGGCTGGGTGTTCCTTGCTCATCTGTCTAGCCACTTTGGACAGGTTTGTTACTGTTGGCTGTGAGTCATATTCTGATCTGGGAGGTCAATGTGGAAACCATGATATTTTTATTTGATTAATCAGATGTTGTGCTATTTATTGTTATTTCCTCCAGACACTGGGGAATGGTTAAGATGATTTCAGTTTTCTGGAAAAGAAACCTGAATCTCCAAATGGATAATTTGCCTGTGCATGGAGATAAAGCAGATGAGTATGGGGGCAAGATTTAAGCCCAAGCTTTGTATTACCATTGACCACTACCATATTGCTTTCTCCACTAGGTTATAAAATCTTGAATGGGAGTAGGATAATGACATCTGATAGTTACTGAGCCCATACTTTGGGACAGACATGTGAAAATAATGTTATATGCAACAAATTATTTATACTTCAGTTAAAATTTTCTACCATAGAGTAGGTTTTAAAAATTATATATATATATATATATATATATATATATATATATATATATATATATATATATATATATTTAGTTTCCGGTGGACACAACATCTTTATTTTATTTGTATGTGGTGCTGAGGATCGAACTCAGTGCCCCACTCATACCAGGCAAGCACACTACTGCTTGAGCCACATCCCCAGGTTTTAAAAAT